GTCTGCGTCCCGTCCTCTAACCGCGAGTTTGGCGATTTGGGAAGTTGCTTCAGACCAGATGAAAGGAAAAGATTTTCAACAATTTGCACCGTGTTTTCGTTTTCAGCTCATGTACAAGACGTGGGCATTGAGCTCTGATACCTTGTTAGCTATTTGATAAGGATAACAAAAACCTAGAAATAAAATAGCCCTCAGTCATAAACAACAGGATTAATTCATGGTTATGTTCATGCAAATGTCCCAAACAGAAATAAGGTAGCACAGAAAAATCCTCTCGCTGCTGCTGGACAGCGACTTGGACACACGCAGGTGGCTGCAGTCTAAAAGCTTTCATCAAGCTTCAGTTCAAAGCAAAACGTGTGGCTCCATGTACATAAACCATATTTCCTTTTCCGTAGAAGAGACTTTGACATAATAATGTGTTTCAGAGAGCTGCATTCTGTTCCATATAGAGCAGAGACCTTATTTCATGCCCAATCCTTTATATATATTTGTATGTATATGCATACATACAGTATGAATGACTGACGTATGGGAAATCAAAGATACTCTTTATCTGCCTAGACTTAACAACTTCTACAGGAATATATACTCCATTTCAGCTAAATAGTCAAACTCTTTCATCTACTGTATGTAACTGAAATATTTTATATGCCCTAAAACCTTAGGAGTTCCAATTTCTGCCTCAGAATAAATTCTACACAATCTCTGAACTTTTGAAATTAATCAGTATTTGAATTATTAGCATATGTGGGAAAAGCTGTGGTGTCAGATAGGAAATATATTTTTCCTCTTTCTGTAACATACTTGCCTCAAATTTTCTAAAAAAGCCTTCAGCTCTGAGGAAAAAAAAAGTAAAACAAAAATTGGAGCCTTATTCATAAAAATTGACTACCAGCTTGACTCCACAAGTGATTGCTGGATATCAGGAGAGGATAGAAGTCTAGGTCTTTTCTGCTGGACCTCAATTCTCTCTGTTCTTATTTTGATCCTTTATTATGCAGAAGAAAGATACTGTCTCATCAGAACTTGCCATCACATGAGATCTTGTCTGTGTGCTTGCACAGATAAGTTTCTGAAAAGAAATATGCTGTATTCATTAATACAGTTTATATATCATTAAAGTTACTTATACCTACAATAAAATATGGATTTCAAAGTTTATTAGAGGGTTATTTATCTCAGTGGAAGTTTATTGTGGGTTATTTATCTCTAAAGTGCTAGCTCATTAGATACTTGCATAAAAGGCCTTATTTTATCTCCTTTATGCCTGATAGCGTCTAAGGAGAAGAACTCCTCTCCCACCCAGCTTTACTCTCTGTGCAGTCCAGCATCTGTGTAGTGCTGGAGAGCATAGGTGGAATGGAGGAAGACAGGCCAGGCTGTGCTAATATTTTAAGGTTTCCTTACCTCTTCACTAAAAGAAGTCTTCATTAGATTTTTGTGAGTAGCCTGGTGGCTACAGGGCACCCACAGTAATCCCAGGATGGTTTTTGGACCAGAGTTACAGCAGAAGTACAGAATTGTTTGATTTGGAATTCCGGAGTCTGCCAGACTTGAAAGGGTAATGCTTTTATTGAAGTTACTGCTTTTGTGCAATTGAGACGAACTTTTGATGTGGATCTTGGCTTTATCTAGTCAATTAGTGTGGAAATATAATTTCCAGTAACAGATTTAGTTTTCAGTATTAAATTCCCTCAGACATTTGTTGATTTAATAATATTTAATTTATTCTTTGCTTTCAAATAAAATAGAAGTGGTAAAAAATAAATTACACATTATGGAAAGTTTTATATTATGATGTTTCAGTGAAAGTGGTGTTAGGAATTAATTTTAAATCCTGTGGATTATCTATTCAAATAAAAGCACCTGTGAGTTGGAAGGCTTTTAGTCTGCATTCCTAAAGAAAAATGGTGTATACAATTGCATCATTTGTCTGGTCATCTTCACTTGAATCCATTATCCAATTATCCAGCTTCTTAAGGGAATAAAAGCCTCGAGGACGACTACATTCTTTCCAACTTGGTTGAAACTGGCAGTGAGTAGAGGAGAGACACCTGCATTACTGCTTCAATAAGAGAAAGGCAGACAGGACTTGATCATGCAGGGAGTTAGCCCGCTCATTGCTCATAACTGAAACCATCTTGTTGGTTGGAGATAGCAGGGGAAACGTGAGGCGAACTGGGATTAATCAAGGCACATG